TCCTCACTTGAAGGCGCCATCCACTTCAAAAAGGAGGAGTGATCTGTCCTCTGCTAGCTCTGTTCAGAGCTGGGATCGGTTCCAGCCTTTAAGCGCAGGCGGCTGCGGTCCTCCCGAGTTTGCCGGTTTGGAAAGCGAAAAGCAGCGTCAACGCCTGCGGAGCCTCCAAGCCCTTGCATCCGTCAGTCGTCGTCAGCCACGAAAGCAACGCGTCTCGCACACCTAGAACAATGTGCGAAGCACATAATGAAGGGCATCAAACAACAAAAATCGTAACACGCCAGGGAACGAACTGCCTGGGGAGACTTTACACCTTGTTAGTGTCTAGCAGAGTTATTACAATGACTGTCAGGGCAATCATGATTGTACTGAGGTTCTCTCTATACAAAACCATAGGAAGATGTTCCTGCTCAACTACTCTTCTAAAAAGAGAGTTAACAAATGTGAATGCTCCTGACTGAAAAACGTGACTATCCCCCAGCTTTAACCAGAGTAAATTCAAGGAACAAATCAGCATGTCAGAAACAGCAGTAGCTCACGCTAGATCCATTTTTTGTAGTATTTGGAAGTCATTTTTAAGTTTGTAAGGGTTAAAGACATGGCCTGCCAGCAGTGATGGCTTGTCATCAGCTGAAATCTTCCACGCAAGGTTCTTGCTTTTGGTCAATTGACTTTATAACCTTGTAGTTCTACCTTTCATTTAGTAGCCGTAGAAACCTCTCCAAGACTCATGAAAAACACATTTGCCTACATCACAAAACTTCCGTAATCTGTTTTTGCGAAGGTCCAGCATCACCATTGGCACCATGTACCAATAACATGGTGCGATCCTTCTGTAGGAAGGTGTGCCCTTTTTCTTTTTGAAATCTGCCCCGTGATATCCCACATGTTTATTTGGTACCAGTTTGGTTTTAACAACTAAATCTACAATAATTCACCTTTGGGGAAGGGAATTTTATCTGCAGTAAGGTGCCCAAACGATTCCCTCTTTTGTCAAGAAGGCGGAGAAACTGCAGAGAGCCTGGCAGAGGCTGCTTAAGGAGACAGTGAATAAAGTCAAGATTTGCTGAGCACTGGAAACTGTTCTTTTCTCTGCCCTGGGTCCCAGCGTGCACCGGCCGAGGAAGCAGAACAATTGGAGCAAAACTGGAGGGAGGGGTGTGAAAGGGGCCCCAGGTGATGATGGCACAGAACAGAAGAATCAGGTTCACCGTTTTCTTCCAAACCCTGAAGCAGAATCCAGGATTCTCACACCTAAACCTTCACCTGGGACTTTGCAGCAAGTACCGGTGAAACTTCTGGGTAGTGCTGCACCTTTCTTCTTTCTAATTCTAGCCCCTAAAGACAAAGAAATGGCCATGACTGCTACCTCATGTAGAGGTAGGTGTCGAGTCTACAGATAATCATTACCCTTTCAGTATGAGGTGACAGCTTACCATTTCCTCTATTTTGCTGCATCTTATTTAAAAAGGGAAGACTTTCAAGAGATATTTTTTTATAATACAGATTTGCAAGAAAATGAAGTTAATGCCTCCCTGACAGTCTTAGTCTTGGCCTTTTAAACAGACTTAGCAGTCTTCATTCCCTTCTTCAATCATTCTGTATTACATCCTACATGTGGCTCACGTTGGCCCTGTAGTTTGTGTGCAATGCCTTTAAAGCAGCTACTGAAGTCCTACTATCAAGCAGCTACTTTAACCTTTTGCAATGAAAAGCTCTTGGCTCCTAACTGGAAGGCATGAAAACCAGCCATGCAGAGAGCCCTGTGTGACAACCCTGGGGTGGTTCATTTAAAAAAAATTAGCATAACTAATGGAAGTGCAGAAGTTTTAAGCAAACAGCAGCAATCCATATTGCACAGGTTAGTACGGTTTCAAGAGCAATTCAGATGGTTAGCAAACCATGGCACTGAGCAGTTCACAAATAAGATATGTGACCACTTAACCTTGTTCAGCCCGTCACTGTGTGTTTGCATCAAAAGGTAGCTGTTCAATAACTGCAGACTTTCCAAGCAGTCCCTTGAGCCTGGCAGCAAGTTGTGAGAGCTTCTCTGATTGTCATCAGGGAAACTACGGACCCGTTCTGCATGCGGTCAGCCTTCCAGAGATGAGGTTATTACCAGGCATTATCATAAGAAAAGACGTCTCAGGACTAATGTCCCTAGCTAGAAACTGCATTACTGGTGCATACGAAAGGATAAGTTCCTAACACTGTAGAGGCTTCTGATGCGATGGGTTGGTTCAGCTGGCAAAACTACTGTCAAGTTTTCTAAAGCTTTGAGTTCAAACATATGTTTTTATTTGATCTGTGTTATATGAGTTAAACCTGATTAAATCTAACACCTGAAGGACAAGTCTAAAAATAGGTGAGATGTTGTTCTCGCCTTTGGTAGGTATCTGGAGAAAGTAGTAAAATGCAATAAATTGGAACCAGTTTAAATATTAGTTCAAAAGTGTCATCAATTGTGAGATTTTTTTGAAACTCAGTCACTTTTGAGTTTAATCAAAATGTTTCTGAAAATGGAAACAATAATGTTAACATTCCCAGTGGTAGAATGGCAACTTAATTTTTAATTAAATGGTAAATAATCAACATCACTGTTAAAAGGAAAGAGAAGAAACGTGCTAGTTTTGAAGTCGATAGGAAATAGTTCTGTGATAACAGAAGATCAAAGATGGCATGGTCTAATTAAAATATAAAATGCTGCATGAATATCAAAGGGATACCTACAGCTCCAACAGACATTGTCAGGTAACAGTACAGGCACCTGAATTCTTCTAGAATCATCTTTGCCTCCACTGCCTCCGAACTCTGTATTTTGTCACAGCCTGCATAGGAAATCAAATGCAAAGCTGGCAACTGAACCTGGTTTTACTCTCAGAGCTCCTCCTAGAGAGTTTAAAAGTTTTGCTGATGTTATATCAGTCTGTTGGTAAACTGAGCAACTCAAGCCTGAACAAAAAGTAGTAGTATTAGGGCTAGCTAAAAATTGATCTTTGATCTTAAATTCTGTCCTTGTTTTCTGCCTTGTCCCATTCCACACCTAGAAGCCGCCCCTGGGTACAGAGGAGGCTACATGGCTTCTGTATAACAGAAAATTCACACAACAGAAGGCTGAATTCCTGATTAACGGCAGCTCCCTCCACTTCAACCACAACTGTTTAAGCCAAGTAATAAAACAAAAAGAAAAATCAATAATCAAATTGTGCCTCTGTTTCAGATGGATACACTACTGATGATATTGAATTTTACTGGAATGGAGGAGAGTCGGCAGTAACGGGAGTTAATAACATCGAGCTCCCCCAATTTTCTATCGTTGATTATAAGATGGTATCAAAGAGAGTGGAATTTACAACAGGTAAGCACTGGCTAGTTAAAAAAGCTCCCCCTTCTTCCCCAACCCAGAAATATCAGTGTCTAACTTTTGTTAGGCTTTAGTCATTATATGACTTCTTTCTTTCAGGAGCATATCCTCGACTATCACTTAGCTTCCGGCTTAAAAGAAATATTGGATACTTCATTTTGCAAACCTATATGCCTTCCACGCTGATCACAATTCTGTCGTGGGTATCTTTTTGGATCAATTATGATGCCTCTGCAGCCAGAGTTGCTCTAGGTAACTTCTTTTCAAAATCACTGAACTACATAGATACTTGTTGCCTTTGAATGCAAGTAGTACCAAATCCATACAGCTGATTGCGGCAGCATTAATTGTGATCTTAGACGTGCAGCGTAGGGTCTTCGTTGTCAGGAAGGCAGGCAGGTGTCACCTTGCCTACATCTGAAGTCCTTGCTCTGCAGTCAGGTTGGGATCCTGACTGACTTCCAGTTGCCATAATGGTCTTCGGATCAGGCCAAAAGTATCTTGCTTCCAAACCGAAGCGTAAAGGTCTAATTCAGGTATCTAAGGGTATCTACACTGTGCTGCAACAACATTTCATTGATGTTAAAAAGCGGCCTCTCAGGCCAGATGTGTGGCTGGAATGAATACACAAGATCCTACTGACATCAGTGGAGATATACCAGCTTAGACCAAATAAACCTGTTTTACCTACATAGTTTGTTATTTCCTGTACCATGTTCCTTCCTACAACCTTCCATAAAAACCAAGATCTTCTGCCACCATCTGCGCTTTGAGGCAGATATGCTTTTCAAATGCTAATGCCAGAAAGCCGTTTTGTCCCACCTCTATTTTGTCCCACCTCTCTGTAAATTCAACTCATTACACCTGTGCCTAGAGCTATTATCTAGATTCATTAATGACCTGTGATTAAAGCAGACTAAAAGATAATTTCATCCAGCTAAAACAAAACACACGCACACAAAAAAAAGAAAGAATCATGCAGTGATGGATAACACAATGAGATGGAAATGCTTTACTTGCAAGCACCCCTTTAACAGGAAAAGCTGTTTTGGTACAAGCATATATATCACTTTCTCTTCATCAAGACCACTTGATCACAAAGCTTCCCTTTCTCCTTTCAATCCTCTGTTTTCAGTCAAAAGCTAGATACTTATTCCAGTTCCCCAGAGCAATGCAAGCCACCCTACGGGGTCAAGCAGGGCTACTGCTGTAAATAAAATGAGAAGCATTTCCTCACATAGAAAGAACGGTGATCAACTCTTTGCTATCCAGGTCAGCTAACACCACGTTCCCTAGCTGAATTATTGTAAAAATTAAGGCAAGGTGTACCAAGATAGCCTGGGCTTTTGAAGGCTATTTCTTTCACCCTCCGTTGCATGGAAAGCCAAGGAAGGTGCCACCAGCAGGCCTGCAAGGATATCTTCCTTTCCAGTCCTGCAAAACGCATTCCCTTGGCTGTTAAGAATCTGATCACATAATTAAGCCATCTGCGTGAGAAGTGCGTGGTAGCTGGGCAATGCTGCCATTACGCCTTTCACACTCAAATCTCCTTCCCTGTCTTGTTAGTCAATGTCTCTTTCTTCCTTTTGCAGGAATCACAACTGTGCTGACCATGACCACCATCAGCACTCACCTCAGGGAGACCTTGCCAAAGATTCCCTACGTCAAGGCAATAGATATTTACCTGATGGGATGCTTTGTGTTTGTGTTCCTGGCCTTGCTGGAATATGCCTTTGTAAACTACATATTCTTTGGGAAAGGACCCCAACGTCAAAAAAAGGCAGCAGGCAGGGCAGGACATGCTACAGGCGAGAAGAGCAGGCTGGAAACAAATAGAGTCCAGGTAAAATATTCAAGCTAACTTTTCAAACGTTATTTCTGCTGTGACAATGTTGATGTATATGATGATAGAGATAAATGCAGTTTGAACACATATGCAAAAGCATTTAAGATTGTCTAGAGAAAAATCATATTTTAAGGAGGTTACAGCAACATACGGTTTGTTCCGCCTTCAACTGAAAACAGGAAGAAACTACAGAAAATGCAAATGAATATTCAAAACAAGCATTTCTTTGCAGCACAGAAGAAATACAAGGGGTACAGGGAGGTTAAATATTTACCATTTCAACTGTGTATTTCTTTGCTATAGAAGGTGGTAAAGAAGAAATGTTTATTATATAGTTCCTCTTTACACACAGAAACTTCACAAAAAATAGAAAGCAAAGACAGACACTGTTGCTTCAGTGAGTCCTGAATGAAGCCCACACCACTGAGCTTCCAGGAACACAAGGAGGATGCTGCTAGGTTATAACAGCTTTCACAACTGTCAGGATTTTTCCCTCAGGCTAAATTCAAGCAGACCACAGCTACCCCCTCTTAAAAAACAAGCCAGACAAACTCAAGGAAGTAATAATATGGACATTTTTTTAACAAGGAAAAGTTTAATTTAGCAGTACATCACTGAGCACTTGCAAACTTCTATAAACATATTCCGTTTTTTCCCAGTTTTTCAGAAATAAACACTTCCCTCAGGTGTATTTGGCCCAGTCTGACTCAGAGGAAAATACATATCCTAATGAGCCAAAAATTTTCTTCTGTTCTCTGCTTTTCTTACAATATATTACATCCAAGTATTAATGAGCTCTTACCCAGGCTGTCCTATAAACTTCTGTACTGTTGTGGCCTGAGGTGATAACATTTGGACGAAACTATATTTGAGCCCTCTGTTCAGCTTGAAGAATGAGATCGACACATAAAACTCTTAACAGGTACGACTTTAACTTGATGGACGGTTGCAATTTCACATACATGTCAGGAAGTGCATTTCAGAAACTCTGTGATATTTTATTAGTTCTAATATTAGAGTTGTGTGTCTTGTGTCCCAGCAGCCACACCACTACATCTAAGCATCATTAACAGAGTCGTCATGTCCTCAGTCTCAGTGAACTCATGAGTCCACTAAAAGTCCTTACCCGCATTCGCCTCCCGTCCCAATGTGTAGGAGATGCTTTATTACAGCAGGTGCACAAATTCAGTTCAGGCAGTCTCCAAGGTCCCACAAAGTATTGTCCCTCCACAGAGCAGAGGAGATAAGCCATCCCATTACAGATTGTTGCGTGCAGACATTGTCTGTCTATTTCTACGGAAGATAGGGAAGGGAAAAAAACCAGCAAAACCCACAAGCTCTGACCAGCCACCTCAACAGCTCCTGAGATAACCCAGCCTAGGTGAGAAGAAGCACAGCAAGGGTTCATGATGAAGAAGGAAGCAACACTTCTTCAGAGGTCAGCCTTGGCTACATGGCCGCCAGTGCACTGAACTGAGTAAAGGATGAGAAAGTGTAAAGGATAAGAGTGAAGGTAAGCTCTTTTTCCTACGTATTTGGAGAGTTTGCTTAACTAACAAAAAGTCCTAATTCATGACTAAAAGCTTTTGTCTAAATGTTATGCTGGCAAAGATTACGCTGAGACCAGTACTCAGAATGGGATGGAAAGTATTTACAACCACACTTGAACTTTTCAGAGCACCACGTGCATACACTGGCATTTTTCTGACAGAAAACAGAGGGCATATAGGCTTTGTACTAGGATTTGTAAGTGTTCACACTTTAGACTGCAATTTCATTCGGAGACTGAGAATGCTTTAAGTGAACAAACTGCTTTCTGCCTGTACAGTGCAGGTTTGTGATTTTAGATACATATATATATATACACATACACATAGACACACACATGTGAATGGATATCAGTGGATTTTGTTATCCCACTGGAGACACATTGATGTGGGACCTTGTGAGCATTCATTTCACTCA